AGGACTCTGAGTAGAAATGTTCCGCTTTACTGTAGAAAAGTCCAGAAGGTTCTGCTTCCATCGGTGCCTTCTCCAATAGCTGTTTTGCCTTGTGACGGATTAATCTCACATCTAGAGACTGGGTGATCTCCCCTGACGTAGTTTATACAGAATGCTGTGCTCTCCCATTTCTCTTCATTACACCAATTGTATCCTTTTTTGTTTCCCTTCCTTTTTTTGTCATTCTTGAAATCATATTTCTTTTAGCTTCCTCATCAGATATTTGTTATTCACATAATTTATCTCAGTAATGAAATGATCTGAAATGGAGATCAGACTGTACAGAGATGTCAGCGTGACCCGTATCTGTGATCTGTGTGTGGTTGTGAACTCAGGGCTGACTGTTTTATTGAATAAACCTGGACCGGGGCTATAGCTGATACCAAATGCGTCTTGTCCAATAATCGCTCATGAATGGCACTCAGGGCTGTTTGTGCAATGTGTCTCTTCTGAGTTCACTTGCAGAGCTCTCCAGGTTAGCACAGGTCAGTGTTACAGAGGGGGGGGTGTGGTATTCATTCTATAAATATGTCCCCTAGTCAGGACATAGATATACACTGCCTGTCTAAAAAAGTCACCACCTGGCTGTAGCTAAGCAAATAGGTCAGAGCCTTCCATTGGACACGTGTTATGATCTGGGGTTGCTTCAATTGGTCCGGTCTAGGGGTTCAGCAATGTTCTGTCCCCCCAAAAAATGAGGTCAGCTGCCGACCTGAATATACTGAATGATCAGGTTTTTCCATCAATACAATTTTTTCTTCCCCGATGGCACATTGGGCAGCTTCCAAGATGACAATGCCAGGATTCATCAGGTTCAGGGGGCATGAGACATCATTGTCACACATGGATTGGCCACCACAGAGTCCAGACCTTAACCCCATTGAGAATCTTTGCGATGTGCTGGAGAAGACTTTACCTACTGGTCCAACTCTCCCATCATCACTACAAGATCTCGGTGAAATATGAATGCAACTCTGGATGTAAATAAATGTTGTGACATTGTATAAGATTATCAAACTGGTGCCACGGAGAATGTGTGTCGTCACCAAACCTAAAGGCGATCCAACGAGTGTGTGACTTTTTTTTGGACAGACAGTGTATACTTTTAAGAATTGCACTACTAAGCATGACAGCAAGGGTACATTACATAACATCAGGAAGGGTAATGGAAACGGTCACAATCTGGATGCACAACCTTTAAAGAGGCATTTTTTTTATTTTTTAGGAAAAGTGTCATTTGATGAGTCACCTGACTTGGCATGTTCCCATTCCACATTCCGCCTCTGCAGAATAATACTGGAAAGGGAAGGTACAACATGGATTCAGTAGGATTACATAACTAATGCTTGGCCAACCTATTGTTTGACCTCTCTGAAGTAAACCCAAAGTACTTCTAACCACAAACTGGATAATAGTTTGTCAGAGCACTGTGCATTATAAACAATTGCTATGGCTTTTATGCCAATGAAATACTGTTTTTATTTTCAGGGTTGCCAATCTCCTGTAGCCTTTTTCAGCTACTTCTTTTTGAAGGGCCAATTGACACCAGCCGCTGCAAAAAACACACGTCGGCTGGTGTACATTGCCCGATGCAGGGCCGATCCCGCCACATCACACTGTGTGCGTTTTTTTCATGCAGTTCTGTGGGCACAGAGGGGTGCAAGGCAGTTATTACATGTTGCATACCATTGAACCGCTGTACTTTTTTTTTTTTCCAGTGCACACCACCTCCCCATCACAACATGGTGGTGTGAACTAAGCTCGTCTGTGACGAGGCAAATTGCTATGTCTTGCATTGGTGCTGCACTGGAAACATTGGCCATTGCAGGGCCAACGCATGTGGTATGATTTGGCTCTAAAAGCACTCTCTCCTGTGTTGGCTGCACATAAATCTTCTGGACCCAATTCCTGATGATGACAACAAAGGACGCTAAACACAGTGTGCCAGGTGGGGAGCATGTGACAGGGTGCATAACTGGAAGACAGTTGTCCCCCCATAACAGGAAATGCCTGAACAAGGAACTTCTTGGTGGTTTAGGAGGTATTCTTTTATAAAGCTGCAGATTTAAAGTGTGAATTTATACTCGTACTGCTTTTATGACAAAAAAAAACATGCTCTCAGGAAATGTAACTAAAAATACACCTCAAAAAAGAACATTTTATTCCATATATCCGCAGTGAGTGTTCTGGTGTGAATTTGACTGATATCAGGGTATAGCGCAGCCTCGGACATGCTAGATTAGACGATAAATAGGCCAGCCTCTGTATGCCTGACACGGTCTGTTCATAGAACCAGTTTATAAGCCATTTCTGCACAAACTAGCTAATCTTCTTATCTTTTAAACCTCACGCTGCTATTAGCTCAGCTAAGAGACTTTAACTCATTGCCAGATGGGTGTTTGGGGTGGCCACACATAGCTCAGTATGTTTTGTGATCACAGTAAGGGGTCGGCAGCTTAGTCATTAAACCCAACAATTAGTAGTCATGATATAATTAGGCACAACCTCCGTTAGGTAGTTTGAAGAAACCAGGTAGCTTGCTTTACACATTAGCGCACTGATACAAACGCTGTGCAGTGTAAAAGTGGCCATACACCTTATGATTATCGATTTTTTTTTGTTTGTGCCTTCATCGAACCGTCGTTCTCATTCTGCTTGAATACCCCATCATGCACAGACCTATGTGGATTTCGATTATCGTCCGTTAGCAATACTAACTCACAAATTTTGTCGATCGTCAGAACGGATTTTCGTTTGCGCATGTGCAGTGTTCATGTTGCTATTTTAATCGTCCGCAAATGCCACTAATCCATTGATTTTCGTACAATTCGAAAAAAGTTTTCCAGCCTGACCGATCGAGGAAATCCGGCCAGTTGTACAGTAATTCTGATCGTTCACTTCCCATCGACTGATCGATTATCGTACAAAAACCCAATCTTGTTCGATTTCCGAACGATAATCGCAAGGTGTATGGGCACCTTTAGAAAAAAGTAATTGCGAGATGCATTCAACGTCACATTAATCATGATTACAGATGTGGAAGGTGTTTGTAGAGATGTACAGCCAACACGTTTCCGGGCAAGCCACGTCATCAGCGCTGTTTGTCTGGAATCTTTGCGAATACTGAGATGAAATAAAGTCAGTTAAAATATGTTTTACATAAAAAGAAACTCAACTTGTAACAGGTTGCGACAAAAGAGACTTGAAAAACATATCAGTCAGTAACTTAGCAGCAGTGACAAGCACCTGGCAATGTTTTGATTTTTGTAGGTTTATTAGTACCCCGAATATTGGTGGCAGTAGAAACTGTTGCTGGGATTCCAGGCACGATGCAACCAATAAAATCTTTACACTGAAACATAAGATACATTAGTAGCCTGTAGTTTGGTCTTTTGCTCCCTCTGCCTGCAGCAGCTAGAACTGCTTACGGTTCCAGCGTAAAATACTGCAAATGGGAATATTCTGGGCTGCTTATAACAACATGACTGATCATTTATCTTACACTTTGTATTGGACTTTGTATTGAAGAATTGGACCAGATATTTGTACACCAATCAGTAGCAAACAGTACGTAGCTGCTAGGGGAGGAGTGACAGCAAATATTGTAGACCAGTGTCTCAACCTTTTTGTCTGGTATGGATTTTAAAACACAAATGAATGGGTTTCCACCTTCGAATCAGGAGCCCCATTCACATCAGAAGCTTGCCTGTCACATCAGAGTCCCTCTTTATATCAGAAGCTCCATTTGCAGCAGGAGTCCCCCTTTCACATCACAAGCCCCCTCTTCACATGAGAAGCCACCCTTCCATATCCGAAGCTCCCATCACACTAGTAGCCCCTTCACATCAGAGTTCCCTCTTCACATCACAAGCCTCCCCTTCACATTAGGAGCCTTCTTCACATTAGAAGCCCCCCTTCCAGATTCAAGGCCCCCACCCCCTTATTACACTATTAGCCCCTTCACATCAGAGTCCACCCATCACAAAACAAGCCTCCTCTTCACATAAGAGCCCCCACATCAGCATCTACCTTCACACCAGAGGCCTGCATGCACTTTGGAAAAGCATGACACTGTGCACCCCTAAGGTGGGCAGGAGGCATCCCAGAGTACTACTCCACTCCACTATAGAGTGTCACTTAATTGACAGTTCTGAGTCTGCTGGGCTCAGAACATTACATCCAAGATGGGGGCCAGCCAACAGTAGTCTTGGGGCTTATGGATGTCTACACAAGGGATGTTTGTTACAGGTAAATAAACATGACGAAAAGATGTTAAATGCACCTGTAATTTCATAAGGATGTCTTTGTTCAAATGAATTGTTACAGGGTCTTTTTAAAGTTCAAAGATCAGCTTTGGGTGGACTGACCTTTAAAACATGAAACAAAAACTGCTTGGTTAATGCAGAATTAAATACTGGAGGACCACAGTACAAAAAAACGTTGTCTTTGACAACTAAAAACAAAAAAAGGGTATGTATGTACAAAGCACATGCCCATAGGGAAAGAAAACTGTAAATAAAAAACACATTTGCATAATGAATTCCTGGACACCCTTTACATTGGTGCACAGCACTGCAGTGATCCACCAAATCCGCAAAAATGTCTGCTTACACTGGATGTGCATGGCAAATGGTCATTAGTTGCAGAAGGTCCGTCATCTCTAGCAGGAACATGACACATTTTTCTGGCCCGTCACCACACCTGCAGACAGACATCATGGGAGCCAAAGCCTAAATAATAGTGTTTATCTGTATTTTATTTCTTTTTCTCCAAGAATCATTCTACAATAAAATAAAATTCATGTAAACATTACAAAACAAACTCTGTACTCCATTTGTATCATTTCATTTCCATTTATGCACTAAACCCTTCAGCCTAATTAACTTATTTCAGTTGGGTGGCAGAGTAACAGTCATCCATTGCCAAGTGTAAACGTAGGTACCTCTTGCAGCATTGTACCACATACGAGTACTGTACCTTCCTCTCAATGTCTCTTTCACAGGATTTTTTGGACAGGTTTCACATATAAAGACCAGTTTCCTGAACAACACTGTTGCAAATAGAAAATAAAAAGTGGCAAAGATCAGGAGCATAGCACAGGTCAGTCTGGTATGGAGTCTGCTGGGCACAGCAGCTCAGAGCTGGCATCGCCTTCTTCAATAGTGTAAGTTTGTTTTGGGGAATCAGCTTTGGGTGATGTGCCATAAATAGGGGAAGACACACCAGGGTTGTCTCCACCCTCACTGTCCACAATTACCACGGTCGTCTCCTCTTGGATTAAGGCATTGAGGCCATCAAGGTCAGAACAGCTCATTCCAGACTCCGAGATAAAGGTTGGGTTCTCTGAGGATTCTGGGTCACTTTCTTCACCATTTTCTATAAGCACCTCCTGTATGGAGTCCTCACTATCTTGTCCTGGAGAACCTGGGACAACTGTCTCACATACAATGACCTGTGACCCTAGAGACTGAGGTGAGGCCATTAAATTGACATGACTTAACATATGGAGCTGGTCGGTGGCTATTGCCTCTGGTCCATTTCTTTCTTCACTAGAGGAGTCTGCATTCGTCAAGGAAGCCCCAGAAAGTTCTTCCTCATCACCTACTTTCATCTTTCCTACAATAAATGCTGTGACAGCGTCGTCTTTGTCAGATTTGTCAACATCACTTTGCCGAGACTGATCGACGGAAAGCTGTAACATGGATAATTCTTGAGATTTTTGAAGCATGATCTCGTTGTGCTGTCTCTTATGACTCCGTAAGGAGTCCTCCCTAACAAATGAGGCCTCACAGAGGTCACACCTGAAAGTCTTCTTTGCTTCCACTTTGTTACTTTTCCGGGAGCCATACTGCCTCGGAAAGTTCCCTTCCGTTTTCTGAGCGTCGAACTTGCAGTTCACATCATCGCCATGAACTTTCTTAATATGCGTGGTCAGGTTGCTGCGCTGTTTAGTGTCAAATTGGCAGAGGTGGCATTTGAATGGTCGGTCCTGGGAGTGAATCCGCTCGTGGACTTTGAGCGCCGCCCTGTTGGCGCAGGAGTAGTTGCACTCTAAACACTTCACCGGTAACTCCGGCAGATGGGTGCGCAAGTGTTGACGCAGGTCTCCCTTGCTGCTGCACTGAAAGTTGCACTGCGTGCATTTGAACGTGCATTCTGCATTGTGTTTCATTCTTATGTGGGACTTTAAATTCCCCTTCATGGCACAGAAGAAGTCGCAGAACTCGCAGCGGTAGGGCTTCTCCCCTGTATGAACGCGCATGTGTCTTCTCAAGTCAGAGTTGATTTTGAACTTGGAGCTGCACAGCATGCACTGGAAGGGGGCATCACCTGGAATACAAGAAGCTCTGTCAGAAGGATTGAACAGCCAAGCACGCATGAAAAATGCACATAAGCAGCAAAGTGACATAGACCTAGGAGTTTCATCTCTCCTTACTTTGATTGGTATGCACAATGCAAATGACCTTGGCATGCAAGGGTGACTTCACTCAGCCTTTCCATGAGATTCTGAAAAGGATGGTGATGCCAAATCCCACAAGGAAGCTCTCCAGAAGAGTGTAGTAGCACATTTGCGCAGGATTTGGGATGCTCAGCTTTCCCAGGATCTCTCTAGAAGGCTCAGTGATGTCACGCTTGCTTAGGGAAAGGCCAGAATTTATGTCCCTTTTTATCCAAATGTTTAATTGTTTTTTCCAGATTTTTCTTTCTTATTACTCTAGGAGTCGCTGTTGGGTAGATTTTACCTTGATTCCTGTAACATGTCACCAGGAAAGGAAGCGGGGACAGTCTTCCCCAACTGAGAAACAACAGCAATATATATATATATATATATACTGAGTGGCCAGATTATTATGACCACCCCATCAGTACTTAGTTGGGCCGCCTCGTGACTCCACGAGATGATGAAAGGTGATGCGAGGAATCTGACACGGCACTGTTGCCCTTCTGTTGTCTTGTACCAGTCATGCCCCTCCCCCGTTCTGCCCTAACATTGACTAGTCGCTGACGGCCACAATTCGCGCGTTCAGACCCAGATTTTCGGCTGACAGTCCGGTCTTTAACCTCTTGCCGTCCGCCCGTAGTAAAAAAACGGACGGACGGCACTGCAGCATCTGCGGGTTGCCGTCTCCAGACGGCAATTTTTTTCTGCTCGCGGGCACGCACGGGCAGAAAAGACCCGATCTGGCCACTCAGTGTGTATATATATATATATATGTATATCTCTCTGATAGGTTCTAACTGCACTCTACTATTGTTGTCTCTCAACTTTGAGGAGATACCAACTTATTTCCTGTCCAGGCAACCACAGGAAGTGAGGGGATATTACAGGGACACATAAGGCAATACTGCTTGAAAAAAAGATTTCTTACTCCAACCAGAATAAAAATAAAGTTACAGGTGGTATATTATCTTATTTAGTTCATTTCGCCATGGTTTAATATACTTATGTCTGTGTCGCTGCCATAGCATGCATCTTCTTTAGTCCACCATCATGTTAGCATTGCCTGGGCTCAGCACAATCTTGTCCCAGTGCGATGCTGCTCATCTGTATTTACCAAGATAGTACCCACCCATCTCTGTCGCATCCTTCGTTAGTTTGCTTTTAGCGTGTATATTATCACCACACTAAACTGTGGTGCAGGAAGTATCAGTTTCCAGGCTACAAGAAGTCCCCCCAACAATGCCATTATCTGAGAGGTGGCGAGTCTTGTTCTGAATACTGTGTGTTTATTAATAGAGAACTAAAGCCAAACCTTTTTTTTGTTTCAAAGAAGCACATTTATTAATTTATTAATGTCCTCCTTTGACCCAAAGTCAGCATCTAGTGGTCTACTGCCCACTATTTCCTGACGGCGCAGAGCTGCGCTGCAGCTGGGAATGATCCTGCCAATATTGTCGGGATCCACCATGCTGCCTGCTTTGACTGCTGGCTCTGCCTCTCTAGAGCCAGAGCCAGCTGTGCCCGCCCCCTCCCTTGTCTGTCCCTCCAATGTGCGCTGGAGCAACAGAGAGAGGGGGGAATCCCTGTCACTACTCTGCATGGAGAAGCTGTGAGCTGAGCAATCAGCAGTTTTCGATCTATAGAGCTGGCAAGTGACACTACAGCATCACAGACCGGCTCTAAGTATTGGGATGAGTACATTTTACTCTCCCAATACTTCTCCTTTAAAGCTGAAATCCAACCAAACAGTTAAATACATAAATTAAATGCCTATTTGGGAGCTGTTCTACCTGCCAAAGTATTTATATTTCTGTCCATCCAGTTCTGAGATTAGCATAGCCCCACTCTGGTTTCTCTGCTGCACTTAAGTAATGCTGACATGTTTCCTCTCCGTCCCCAACTGCGACTGGACAGCGAAAGGAGAAGCAGCAGACTGATGAGGTCATCTCCCTGTCACTCTCTCTCCCTATTATCATGCTCCTTGTTAGCACCTGAGCACTGAAGCACAGTGGATTGGCTCCTTGTGCAGCTTCTCCGTCCCTCTAGTCTGAGCTCTGCTGTACAGGGAAGAGGCTGATACCAGTCAAATTCAGGTACTTATATAATAATAGCATTTAAACAATACACTTCTTGGCGTATTAATGAACACAGAGCTGCATTGATTTGTGTCTTTTCTATATGCCTGGAGTTCGGCTTTATATTATAAAGACACATAGGGAAGAGTTTATGTAAACGAGCTGATCATAGCACATATACACCGACAGCAATCGTCAGAAGCGAAATCTTCCCGGCCGATTCCTCATCATCCGCTGAATAAACTTTTAACCTCTCGGCACATTGCGCTGCCACAGAACTGATGTGTGCTTTCAAAGTGCACTTTGTTCTCTGTACATTAAAAGTGTTTTTTAATTAAAATATCAGTGGGAGACCAATTTGTAGCAAAAACTGTTTTTGCTCCAAATTTATTCTCCTCATAAAGAATTTTTCAGGCTTTGTAAACAACCCGAGCAATATTTGGGGCGTTCAGCTAAATTTCACACTTAATCGCGCTAAAAGCTTTATTATGCAGATCAAAAAGCACATTACTATGCATTTAGATTATTATCCCCCTCAGATCCGGAGCCCGATATCAATATATGTTTTAAGACTTTTTATTCTTTGTTTTCCTAAACAGAAAAAGAAGCCGGATTTGTATTTTCTGCAGTCTGAAGTGATTTAACTCTTTTCTGCTTGAATATGCGAGTCAGACTAGGAGCTAATGTGACCTCTCCTCCATGACGCTAGAATATCAGAACTGCCTTTGTCTGTCTAATACATAAAAATACTCTTTTGGACAAATAAAAAAAAAAGACAACTAGCACTTAAAGTGATATTAAAGCCAAATTAGTTTTTTTCATTTCTCCTTTAAGGAGACCCTCCTTTGCTGGAGGCTGTTTTCTAGTGTGTCCCCGCCATGCTCTCAAACCCACCCCCCCCCGCGCCCTGCACAGGTGTCACCATCGTTCTAATCCATAGACACACACAGCCCTGTGGCAGGCCACGCCCCTTCCTTCTTTGATTGAAGCCTATGGCTCCTCTGCCATCAACATCCTCCCACCGCAACTCAGAAGTGCGAGGTATGGAGGATTGCTTCGAGACCGGCGGCGGGGACGAGCGTAGCTGACAGGTAAGTGTGGGGGAGACTGGGGTAAAAAAAAAAAAGGTCCTGGGCTGTTTTTACCCTAATGCAGAGAATGCATTAAGGTAAAAAACACCCAGACCTTAATACTACTTTAATATGTTTGCAGAGCCAGATTTATATTGTCTGCCCCCCAGACCCCTTGTCCTGTGCCACCCCCTCCTAGCCACAGTCTCACACACAAGATCAGCATCAGAACCACACAAGGTACATTGAGGCTAAAGGTGGCCAGACACACTCCGTATCAGTATACCTGAAGCACAAACAGTTCCCCCTTTCTGAGAGCAGTTTGGTTCTAGATATAGAAATCCATTACTCTGTTCCATTAACAAGATGCATGCACTATTCTGGGACAGCATTAAAGTTGAACTCCAAAATTGCTATGAAGTTGGCAGAGAGTTACATGGCCAAACTCAAGGAAGGAAAAGTTAGGAGGAGCAGTCCAATAGTACAGCGTTCTCCCGGGAAGGGGGGGAGGAAAGGGCGCTGGGCAGCGTGGGGGAAATAAGTATTGATTGGCGTGCTGCTTCCTGTTAGTGCGGAGCGTGGTGTCCGACTAGTGTAGCAGAAGAAACAAAAATGGGAGGGGAAGCGCCGCAGCCGAGCAAAAACCTTTGACAGGGTGGATGTCCACTTTGTGGAAAACTCACATGGGTTGGTATTGTTTTGGAATGCTGGCGTGTTGATTGATGAGGGGGGTAAATAAACGCTGATACAGGTGAGTGAGAGTAGAAAATTAAATCACGTGTCTGATATGTAGAAACTCACCAAGAGGTAAATGAAGATGCGACATCAACGACAGGCGTACAGGTGGGAAGATCTTGAGATGTTGAGACATTGGTCGCAGTATTCGTGGTGATGCGGCTGTCCGTGATGGCAGGCTAGTAAGCTCCAAGAGGTTAATGGTGATGCGATGGCGTGGATGGGAGTGGAGGCAGGATGATGGTGAGATGCTGATAACACCAACATCCAACACGAGAAGACCTTCAAGGTCTTCATCAACCCGCCCATTTGTCACACCAGCATTATTAACCCATCAGAGTTTTCCACAAAGTGAACGTCCACCCTGTCATAGGTTTTTGCTTGGCCGTGGCGCTTCCCCTCCCATTTTTGTTTGTTCTGCCAAACTCAAGGAACAATGTTCAGACGAAGCCCCTAAATGTCATGTCATTCAGCCCCTGTAAATGTGATCATGTGACCAAATGCCTTCGTAAGAGCCATAAACGTTGAAGTATTGCTGAGGAATGAGCGTAATAGATGTAGATGATGTCCATGTTTTTCTTCTAATAGAAGAATGAATAGCAGAGGTGGGCAACCTCAGCACTCCAGCTGTTGTGGAACTACAAGTCCCATGAGGCATTGCAAAACCTTGACAGGCACAGGCATAACTCCCAGAGGCAGAGGCAAGATGGGATTTGGAAATCACCATTAGCTGTGGTGCCGAGGGTCCCTACTGTTGGCGTAGTGGGTTTTTCCTGTGTACATTGATGCAGTTTGCCATACAACAGCTCTAAGAGTTTAGGATGAGGAAGAGTGTGGTGTAAAAGGCAAAAATACTTCAGAGCTTCTCAGACACAAGAAACTCTTCCACAACCTTATCCTTACTTTACACCCTGGCCTCTGGCTGCTTCCTGTAGGTGCCATTGATGTCACTGGACCTCCCCATGGGATCCTGGGGAAGTGGATAATCCCACATTTCACACTCTTGCACTGTGCATGGTCTCTTTTTTTACCCAGCAATATAGCTTTAGGATCCCCAGCTTTCCCAGCATCCCGCAGTGAGGCCACAGACATCATCCTCACCTTGGCAAGCGAGTAGGAAGCCGCAATGTAAGGGGAGTATTATTGTTCAGTTTTCCCCTGATTTTTGTTTTGTTATTGCTTTACGTTGGTGTTCTTTTGTGGGGGATTGGGGCTGCGAGTTCCACTATAAAGGAAGGATCAGCTCACCTGTATGTGAACGTAGATGAACGGTCAGCTGACTGGAGTTCCGACTGGCATATGGGCAGATCTGGCATTTGAAGGGGCGCTCATCTGTGTGAATGCGCATGTGTTTGCAGAGGCTGCTGCTGTCCGCCGCGCTGTAGTCACATTCTTTACACTTGTACGGCTTTTCTCCCGTGTGCGAGCGGATGTGCGTCTTTAACTTGTCCTTCCGGCTGAAACATTTTCCGCATGTGTCGCACCTGTGTGGCTTATCACCTAAGAGGGAAGATTGAAGCATCAGAGAGAAAAGAACCATATATTTTTTTTAATCATATCTGCACAAGTTACACATTGGAAGGGGAAACCTTACTGAGCAACACAGACAGTTCTTCCTTCAAACACATTGTAAATGAACCTGCTGGTAACCAGTGAGATGGAACTTTTAAGCATATCTGTAGGCAGACACACGCTGTATATTTACAGCTTTCACACACCTCTTACACAACTTGTCTTAAGGTGCCCATACACCTTGCGATTATCGTACGCTAATCGCTGGGAAATCCCGCGATCGTACGATAATCGCAAGGTGTATGGAAGGCGTGCCATCTCTGCTACTGTAAGGTCGCACGACTTTTGTCTTACAAGTATGTTCGAAAACCGTACGATTGTCGGCGGGTTTGTGGCATGCTCGTAAGACAAATGCCGAATGGGCCGGTGTGCGCAAGCGCACACTGCCCGTTCAGCATTGCAGTCATGGGAAGATGATCGCAAGTACGATCTGCCTGTCCAAGATGGGCAGATCGTACGTTTTTTTAAATTACCTTACAACCATCGCAAGACAAAAGTCTTGTGATGGTTGTAAGGCCTATGGCCAGCTTTATAGAGCATCCCATACTGATTGCAGTCATTCATTAGCCCTGTGGTTCTCATCCTGTGTAACCTCAATGACCGAGGACAAATGTGGGTCCTAAGTCATGACCCAAGTCGCTCTGCCATGGAACGCACGCCATTGCAGTACCATGCATTCAGGTGCGGGCAATCAAACTGTGGGTGGGAGGTGCGTTTCAAATACATGGCAAGGCAACACACCTCCCAGAACACGTGGTAGGTCCATCCAGTCTCCCTACCTTACAAGAACTGGAGTGGATCCTCAGCCTGGGGTCCAGTTTGGGCTACTGTGATGGAGCTCCATCCATATGTGCATTGCTTGTACAGCTCCCTTGTGCACTCTGTAGAGGTGTCGGGAACCAGAATGGGACACCACTGCGGTCCAGGCACCTCTACAGGACATGCGAGGGAGCTGTAAGCAATGCATGTATGGATGGAGCTCTGTCGTGGCCATAGCCCCAGCCCATCTCAAGCTGACACTCTGCATTTTTTGAATGGCTGCTCGGTGTGAGAACTGACATTGCTGCGCTTGGGGGAGGCTGAGGAGCCTCTCACCTAGAAAAGTAGAAGGCATGTGGCGACCCACTGAACACGGGGTCGCGACTCACTTTTGGGTCACGACCCACCAGTTGAGAACCAAGGCATTAGCCATTCAGTCAGGAAATGGCCAAAATGGTTTCTGGACAATCTCTATGTTTTTGTTTTTTTAACTGCACCTTTCATATGCATCTCAATTAAGATATGACTAAAAATTGTACTAAATATATTTGCATCTTTATCATATAGGAAGAATAGATCATATTATTCATATAAGTACATGGGATGTCAGTGGTTTGGTTATTGGTTGTGTACTGATGAAGATACAAGTCTTACCTGTGTGGGTCCTCATGTGGCGTTCCATGTCTTTCATGCCATAAGCAGTCTTGAACTGACATCCTATACACAAAAAATGATGATCTTAGTACACACTCACTGAACACAATTCACTACCAATTCATACAAGCTAACCAGGGTTGTTGAACTTCCACTTACCTGGATAGGTGCAGCTCTGCTTCTTCTGGGGAGAGGCCGCAGATATTTTTTTGGATCGACTTTTGGTAGTGATAGTGACCCCACCGATAGGCGGTGCCACTGAGCTGTCACTAGGCAGAAAGGTTTGATATCCGTGTTCAAAGACGAATTCCGGAGCAGAGACTGGACATAAGTAAAAAGTGCCATAAGTCATCTAGAGAATGTTAAAGTAAAATCATCACAAGCCTGGACCAAATAAAAGAAGATCTATTACATAGTTGTCCCGACAATAAGAAGTAAGGGGAACATTTTCCATGGGGACACCTTTCCTGGGGACAGCTCTAACATTTGGGATTTCTCCACAATTGCTTTTCTGTAACAATGGCCAGCAGTACAACTAATGAGGAGTCACAGATAGCAATAAAAACCTCATTTTTGTCTACTGTCTTCAGTCCACGGACACTTAACTAGCACAGGGCAAGGATCCCTCAGCTGTGTGACAGAAGCCACAGAGAGGTGGTGAACCTTCCATGTGGATACACTTTGTACACCCAGTCAGAATGGGATCTCCCATTTCTTGGACATTCTCTGTAATGTTGATGAAGGGTTGGAGCTCAATTGTTGTCACTCATTGAACATGAATTACATCATCTCTGTGTTGGATAGGATGCCCAATGACACTGGAGGAGCCCAGGTTTCAGAATGCATTGTATAATATTGGGCAGAGGTCACAGAGGCAAATGACTTGTCTGGCCTTGTACCTGATTGCTCAGAAATGAAGTGACATATACCTGTGATGGTCTGAGTCTCAGAAGTGATGGTGCGAGCAACAGGCTGCGATGGTGTCACCGATTCTCCAGACACAAACTGGACAGTAGTTGTAGCTCCGGTGGCAGCATTGGTGAGCTGGCAGCCACTCTGCTTGTGGGCCACAAAAGCATCCAAATTATTGAACTGAGTTTTGCAGAGGCCGCAGATGTGGATGTCCGCCGTGATTTCCACCAGGACTGTAGCAGTGCCTGAAACTGACAGAGCAGGGAGAGAGCAGTCATATATAGTGGAATGTTTCTATACACATCCAGAGAAAGTCAGTGTAGAGGACACGTATTCCACTCAGCCTATATGCATGCACCATAGAGAATAATGGACACCAATACTTAGCTTGCCACTAGTGCTCTGGTCACCCATTAGTCTTTATGGTTGGGCCCCCAACATGTACACTGAGGGGAACAGGTATGGGCCCTGAACATGTACACTGAGGGGGAACAGGTATGGGCCCTGAACATGTACACTGAGGGGAACAGGTATGGGCCCTGAACATGTACACTGAGGGGAACTGGTATGGGCCCTGAACATGTACACCGAGGGGAACAGGTATGGGCCCTGAACATGTACACTGAGGGGAACTGGTATGGGCCCTGAACATGTACACTGAGGGGAACAGGTATGGGCCCTGAACATTTACACTGAGGTGAACTGGTATGGGTGTACACTGAGGGGGACAGGTATGGGCCCTGAACATGTACACTGAGGGGAACAGGTATGGGCCCTGAACATTTACACTGAGGTGAACTGGTATGGGTGTACACTGAGGGGGACAGGTATGGGCCCTGAACATGTACACTGAGGGGAACAGGTATGGGCCCTGAACATGTACACTGAGGGGAACAGGTATGGGCCCTGAACATGTACACTGAGGGGAACAGGTATGGGCCCTGAACATGTACACTGAGGGGAACTGGTATGGGCCCTGAACATGTACACTGAGGGGAAACAGGGACAAGGCAGAACAAGAAAATGCTAGCTGATTATAGTGATAAGTGAGAACCTTTCAGATCTGACCTATAAATACAACACATGTAACTTTGTTTATATAAATAACCGTTAATATAATTTGTTTATAGAAACAGATGAGTTACAAGTATAAGTTACATTATGTGTGCTTAGAAATGTTACAGGTATCCATGTTGGCAGTGTAGTAGTCTTGAAATTATCAATTAGCAGACATATTTTTGGCCACTTACAGATCTGATACAATTTACAAATAATGAGGGGAATGTATCAAAACTGGAGCAGACACAATCTGGAGCAGCTGTGCATGGCAACCAATCAACTTCTCTCTTTCATTTTCAAATCTTACCTGAACAAACTGAAGAGAGAAGCTGATTGGTTGCCCCGGGAACCTGCTCTAGACCTTGATAAATTCCCCCCAGTATGTTTTCAGCCCCAAAGGTTTAAAAAGAACTTGCTGTAAAAATCGAGGCTGAATTTCTCCACAGTGCCTGCAGACACAGAGGTCATTGAGGGCTCACTGTAATTTTATTTTACTGATTGTTAAAAATATGTAAATATTTAATGTCCCTGTTCCAGCCACAGTTACACATCAAAGCCAAACTCCAGCATACTAAAAAAAAAATCCTTAGCAGCTCTTTAATATCAAAGCAGCTCTGGCCCCAAAAATCACCTGTTGACACCCAGGGCAATTCAGGCCACTTCTTGTGAGCACATCAAGGAGCCACCCTGCACTCACAGGGGGAAGCCGCAGAGAGTAGCCTTGTGTCATTGCATGGTGATGTTCTGCGCAGCATTCAGGACCCTCTCAAGGCAGAAGGCAGAGAAAGGACCTGTGCACAGGGCCGGACTTACTCGCTATGCTGCCCCAAGGCCAGGTTCCACAATGCGCTCCCTACCCGCCAAACCCAATGCAGAATGGCAGGCTGCATACAAGTTATCTTGGCGACATCGCAGAGATCACTTGTACAAAACAAGCGGCGGCTTTCCCGCTGTACATTTAGCTCTGCTTGCCCAAAGCAGGGCTAAATGTAGAAAACAACTACCCACCTGGCGCCCGGAACTGCACGTTCCGGGCATCGGGAGATAGGAATTCCACACCCCTGCTGCCCCGGGGCGGGCCTTGACTGGCTTTGTGGGAAATCTGGCCCGGGATGTGGGGTTTGTACATGTTTCTCTCTACTGGTAAGGTTATTATTTTCGGATGGCATATAGGAGAGGCAGGCAGGAATACACACGGCTAAATTACTCTTCTCTCTGAGAACTATAGATCCTATATCCAAGAATCACTCCATGTACACACAGGATACAACAAATCAGCCGGGACACCTGTATTAGCCGCAGTTTGCGTATAATAGATTCAGCAGATTTCCTATTTGGCTCCTAAATTTTGGACATTTGTGTCCCACCATCCCAGACTCCCTGCTATCTGCCACTGAAAATGGAGATAAGCGCAATTATAGGAAGAGACATAACATTGCTGTAGCCTATTAAAGGCTGTGATTCCAGCCCCCTTCTGAAAATGCCTGTGGACCGGCCATTGGTGGATTGAAGACATTCTGTGTTACTGAGCTGCTGATGCAGTCAGAGGAATCAGAAGTCTGATCTGCATACTCGTTCCACGTCAGTGACTCAGAAAGCAGAGAAGAGAAGGCAGCTAGGCAACTAGTATTTCCAGAAGTAGGTCAGCTATGGCCGCCTGCACACCGCTCCCAGTATAGATCTGTGTCCACAGAACAATCGTCTGCACACCGCTCCCAGTATAGATCCACAGAGCAATAGCCTGCACACCGCTCCCAGTATAGATCCACAGAGCAATAGTCTGCACACCGCTCCCAGTATAGATCCACAGAGCAATAGTCTGCACACCGCTCCCAGTATAGATCTGTGTCCACAGAGCAATAGTCTGCACACCGCTCCCAGTATAGATCCACAGAGCAATAGCCTGCACACCGCTCCCAGTATAGATCCACAGAGCAATAGTCTGCACACCGCTCCCAGTATAGGTCTGTGTCCACAGAGCAATAGTCTGCACACCGCTCCCAGTATATGTGTCCTGAACCAGTGGTGGACACAGACCAGTACACTGGATCACCTATCTGCATCATACTAGAGGTTCTCCTATGTCTGTGTCCTGAGGACCAGCTATGGAAATCCGATATACAGCCAGCTGGTGACCACGTCTGTCCCGTGTGAAGAGGACCTGTCACTGCCATCTCACTGTATATGAGGAGTTCTGAGGTTCTCCCTCCATACTACAACGAGAGAAATACAAAGTGTATCTCGGGGGGAAAAGCTTTTATTTCAATATTGGATGGAGTAGGGTAGGGTTAGAGGTCTGTCAGGTTTTTTTTGCTGCCCCAATTGGTGTCCCCGTCACACTTTCTCTGTACTGGTGACCACTGTCATTAATAAAAGAAAGTGAGGGAAATCCAACATTATAGGGTTGTCCTCAGAAGTAGGGGTGAGGGGAAATCCTCCCGTGGGGGGGGGACACCTATTGAAGCAGAACTCTGGGTAACGTTTTACTAACCCTTACAGGGGGGCTACCCCTGACCTGCAGAGATATACTCACCTGATCCTCAGAGCCGGCTGTGCCAGTGCTCCCTCCTCCTCGCCTGTAGCGATGGTATGCCCCTCAGTGTCCTCACGTCCTATACACAGTGTATAGAATGTGATGGTTTACAGGACCTCAGACTGCTGCAGCGGAGGAAGAGAGAGGCACCGGTCTAAGAACAAGCCGGCTCCGAGGACCAGGTGAGAACCCAGACACAGATGAGCAGAGAACCCGTGCAGTGTGAGAGTAGACCCCCCCGAAGGGTTAATAATCACTTTCTCTGGAGTTCTGCTTTAACCTGCTATTTCCTGCTGAATTGGCTAAAATTTGGTCCTTTTTGGCACCACCCGGCTTGACAAACTTTGATGGGACAATTGAAGGAGCCGGGTGGAAGGATTGTTGGCTGAACAGTGACTGCAGCCAATCAGATGCAGTCACTGCTGAGGCATTCTAACAGTCATAGGTGCCAGGTGTCAGAATACAATATCCGGCAAGACAGATCCATCCATCCATGATAGGGGCAAGGCACTGGGAGCACTGATGGGGAAATTGAATCTTCAGGTGTATGGTCAGCTTAAAAAAAGAAATTCTCCCCCCTTATGGAGACCTCCTCTCACTTCCTGTTGCATCTCTAAGAAAGGAAGTTAGCAAAAAAAAAAACTGTCAGGGGTTTTAACCCTTTGCTGGAGTGTTGTCACCGGAGGAGTGTTTGTGGCAGAATCAGCAGGTGACATTTATAAAACGCCCCCCCCCAATGTAATCCCGATCTTCCCATAGACACAGATCTCCCCCCATACACCATACACGGATCGTACAGAAGAGGAAACATTTCCCCGGATTGTATACAAAATATCCATACACAGCGCTCAGCCCGCCGCAATGCACCCTGGGAGCCGGCCTCCGATACATTGTATCACTCGTACACGTTCCGTGGTTCCCCGCCTCTGCAGGTTTCGGGGTTCCCCATGTTCCCCCCGAACGGCCAGAACCCCGGAACCTGCACCGATCTTCTACTCACACTGTACAGCGGGCAATCCCTCGGCGGCCGCGCTGGGGTTCATGGCCAGAGTGGCCCCCAATCAGGGGCCAGGCACACCGCTGATGGCTCCTGCGGCTCGGCGGATGTCTGGAGAGACGGACTTCCGCTGCCTAGAGGGCGCACTATATGAGAGTGTTCGAGCTCAGCCTCCTGCCGGCGTGACACCGCACCATGCATATTGTATAACGGCCCGTCCGGTGACTGCATGTGATTCCCTATAATCCTGTACTATGTATACTTCATATAGATCACTGATCAGACCCTTCCCTATAATCCTGTACTATGTATACTTCATATAGATCACTGATCAGACCCTTCCCTATAATCCTGTACTATGTATACTTCATATAGATCACTGATCAGACCCTTCCCTATAATCCTGTATTACATTTGTTACATTTGTCTTATATTAGTTATATCCCAAAGACATGCTGGTACATGAGTACATTAGTTGGCTCCTGTCTAGAGCTGCAGCTAACGATTATTTTCAAAATCGATTAGTTAGCCGATTATTACGTTCGATTAATCGGTTAATCGGATAAACAATAAAATAAAGTTTAAAAAATGGCTCCAGTGATGGACTACTAGTTTATATTGAGGTTGTAGTCCATCACAGGAGCAAGTTTGGAG